AGGGACTATAACACACTGTATTCCACAAATGATACTGAACACAACCGCACAATAAGGCGCAAACGTTAAGTTAACACCCGTAACGCCTCAAATTGTTCACTCCATTGCAAAGAATAAATATTGTGTTGCAAATGATATCTGTTGTGTGTCGCCCAATACATAGCAAGTACGTGCGTATCTCAGAATATAGAGCAAGTACGTGTGTATCTGAGCACATAGTCCGCTTGTGTATCTAAGCATATAGCCCGTTGAATCTCCTTGTTCTTACAGTTGCTACCGCTGGCTCTACATCCATCGAATTACATATGAGCTGGACCGAGTACAGTTGAATAGAAGTTGTGAATCTGCTAGCATAGCTACATCTGGTAGCATAGATACATCTGTTAGCATAGATACGTTTATTTCCGTAAATCAGTTCGGTACTTTAAGTCACCGCTTCTCGTCATGCGCATGACTATGTGGACCGTCACTGGATGTGGTCCACTATTCCCTACCTACAGTTGTTGTTGTCTGGTTCATTCGGAGTCCCGGGTACTTGTGCGGTGCGTTTACACCAACTGAATACTCGATATAATATTAGTTGCAATCGTGCGATGTATTGTATACTCCATACATCATTGATTTGTATTGTTACGCACACGACCTTGAAGGCATTGGCCCTGACATGTGCACCAAGGTTAAAGGGTTTTATTGTCTCATTCTACGTATATGCAATACCTCGCAACAGGCACTCGCCTCAGCGAATTCCGAAAAGAGGGCTACCACAAGAAAGCCAGGAATGAAGTGGTACGATTCTGAATACCTCAGCGTTATGACAGCAGGTGTTATGACAGCAGGTGTCTATGTCACGCTCTCAAGTGGACATACGCTTATGTGTCTATGTCAAACTCTAAAGTGTACATACGCTGATGTGTCTATATAACACTCTAAAATGTACATACGCTGATGTGTCTATGTCACACTCTCAAGTGTACATACGCTGATGTGTCTGTGTCACGCTCTAAAGTGTACATACGCTTATGTGTCTGTGTCGAGCTTTCAAGTGTACATATGCTTGTATCCGTGAGTGTCGTTCATGCCTCTGGTTATTGTTGAGTCTAAGGGAGTGTGCTTGCCGTCCTGTGTGTGAGTATGTGTGTCTGCGTCTCTGTTTCGCTGCTTCGGGTTGCCGTCAGCATGGTGTGAACACTCCCAACTGTCGTTTAAGCTTTAAACCCGGAAGGCGCAGAAGGGAGCGAGATTTGCCGAACGCTATCTGTGGCGATGACAAATGTCTATCTATGGCATTTCATATAACACTTTATTTTATTGGATGTAGCACCTTGGTGTATCTCATTGACTTTTGTTTTATTAAATTCATATTGTGTTTTCAATGTCGCTGTATTTTGGTCGTACATATATGTCGATGTCGCACGGATACGAACCTAGTGCATCGGGTTACCCTACCAGATCATAGGTAGTCGTTACGCCACACTATACTACACCATACGCATACATTCTATATCGCTGTATCACGTATCGTCACAGGACAAGCTGCCACCCTGACCCTACACCTTGATTGCACACCAACACCCCTCTGGCCCTCCCATGACTAGATACGTACCCCCCACCTGTGTGCACACGTGTACGTTGGGTACGGCTTCTTATATGGGTGCTGCTATGAGTTCTTATATCGGTTCTTACCACTGCCAATGGGTCTGTGACAGTGCGGGTGCTCAAGCGCATGCACGTTCCCAATCCCCTTCCACAGGAGACGTGTGGCTGGCACTGTCGCCGTAGTTCGTACTACTGCTTTCCGTGTGCCATCACCGCTGAGAGTTGCAAAGGCGACTGGCTCTGCTGCTGTGGCTATGTCGCCTTTCCCGATGTGGAGGTGTGTCTGGTTGACTGTGGATTATCGACAAACCCTAAAACCCTAAAGCTCTAAACCCTACTTCTCAGTTTTCTTTGACGTTAGAGCAAATCGTACTCTGCTCGGCTGCGGTTTAAAAACCTTTTACTATGTATTTGAATACTGGGTTCACGGTGTCTCGCCTTCCGATAGTCGCGTTCACCCCGAGCGCTGTTGCTGAAGGGCCATTAGTGCAGTAAGCTCTCAGTCCACGCAGAGCGATCCCGTTGAACAGAACACTTATGTTTCAATTGTGTGAACTTGATCAATCTCCATCCTACTTCGCATTTGTATCAGTGAGGAAGCCTGATATTCTTCCACTGTATTATCTGACACAACAAACGCACGACCTTTTATATGTGGCGCACTTCGTGAGCTTGTACACTGCAGCGCGTGCGTGCCCGTCTGTTGGTATCGCATTGTTCGTTCTCTCTGATGCCAATGTCATCGGAGGTCATTGGTTTGTGCCAATTAATGTAATACTTAATTAATTGAATTAACTGGCTAATTAATGAGTTAATTCGATTGGTTAGTGGTCTTCAGTGAAAATAACATTGGTTAAT